GCAACTGTCTTCCCAATACACTGTCGACCTCCCAAGCCGAAGTGCATGAGATATCTTGCTCGGTTCGCCGTCTCAGGTTTCTCCCATCGCGATGGATCGAAAACATTGTGATCGGGTCCCCATACTTCTGCATTGTGATGAAATGCATGGTTGCAGACCGCAACAGATGTCTACAGTACGATGGGAAATATCAGTTTCAGTTCGGATCGCCTTGGAAACAAGAAAACGTTTGACGAATTTGTTCGCTTACTCCTTGCTTGATGTGACGGCCAGCTACGAAAATACCCTCCGGGGCTGTCACCCGCCTGGCTAGCGGCATGGTGAAGACAGGCGTGATGCGAAAGTTCTCTTTAACGCATTGACGCAGATAGGGAAGCGAATTTTCTGCGACAACAACTGAGTACGCAGCTTGGCCGGGTCCTAGCGGTTCAAGACTGCTCTCAATCTCTGAAACAACCTTGGCCATGATGTCCGGTGCGTGAAGCAGATGATATAATAGTAGAGAAGTCGTCGCACTTGTTGTATGAGTACCGGCAATGCTGTATATGGATTGTTGATTAGCAACTGTGCTGACTGTCTTCAAGTTCAGGACTGAAAATTCTCAGATGTTTGCGCTTACATGAAGCCAAACGCTTCAGCTTCCAAATCTGACTGCTTCAGGCGCTCGCCCGTATCAGGATCTATTGCCAAGATCAGGTTGGTCAAGATATCATTTCTTTGCTCAACATCTTCCTTCACATCTTGCAGTTCGACTATCCTCTTCCGAACACACTGTGCCGCGAGGGCTGCGCATTCAGCACGACCTTTAAAGAGAGCTTGCAACCCGGGATGAGGCACTAGTGGCAACCAGGTTTTGAGCGTTTTCGTCATAGATGGCCACGACCCTGTTACGGCAGCAAGAAGGGAGTGTTCGACGACAGGAGGAACGAGATGTTCATCGTCACTGATTTGAACACCAAACGACTGACTAAATGCGAGCTCCCCGAGCACATCGATTGTGTAATAATGGAGGAGTTTCTTTAGGTCGAAAACCTCCTGACGACAAGCAAGGTCTTCGATCTTGTCCCGCAAGATTTTGATATTATCATCAAGATACTGTTCCATGCCCTTGACATGTGATATGGAAAAGCTGTGCGACATGTGCCGTCGCCGTATAGAATGGACCTAGGTCTTCTTCAGCCAAGTTTTCTGCAGACATAACACAGTCCGAGATAGAGCGAATAAAGTACATTCTCATCTCTCATACCGAATACATTGGGTATTTTAGCTCCATAAGCATCGTAGAACTCGGTCTTGGGCATGTTGCGGGCACCCTTTTGATACAGGACAGGAATCGCTTCCTCCGCCGTAATACTCAACTTGTCTGGCCCATACCGTACGAAGGGACCGTATTTCTCATGAAGTTCGGTGAGACGATATGGTTGCTTTAGGGATAGAAACTGCTGAACTTGCCATAGATCCGTCAAAGATGCCCAGAATGGACCCGGATAGCTTGCAAGAGGGTGCAACCACCTTCTATGAACGGCAATTGCTAAAGGGAGAAGTCCTACTAGGACAAAGAGAACGTAAGTGATATGCACTGGCGAGGAGGCAGTTTCAAGCAACAGGGAACCCATATCTGTCAGTTAGTATCATCAAAGACTAAATGATGTGTTGCACGGCTCAGAAAGGTAGCCATGTATTGGCTTTTACATATTAAAATTTGAGAGCAGATATCAGTGAAGTTGCCGTGCATCCGGAAACAGTAAGCCGTCCACCGGGAAAGGCATTTGGTCAAAAGTAGTGGACGGCAGGACGGTGACAGTCATCTTGAATCGTTAGACCAATTGGGTCAAGGTCATCCGGATTTGTGGTTGATCCTTGGGGCAACGGGCAAACCACACCCACCCCCCCAAAATAAATCCCCTAGATTTACACTTATCTATGCATCTGAAGAGTGCGGAGTAAGGTGCATGGGCCAAACCAAAGCAACTATTGCCGTGGAGCGAACTCTTCAGCCTACGTCAATCTCCTGTGGTGTTGAGCGTCCTAAGCGAGTGCACTAACCGCAAAACACTCCGTAGAATGCCTGAGAGATTTACAAGTGTGTCTGCTTTACGATCCTCTAAAATACCGGCACAGGAATACCAGCTGTGATACTGATGCGAAGCTCGAATTGGGGATCTGGCATCCGAACAAAATGGAGATATGCACATCCTCTAAAGACCGATCGACATTGTGGCTTCAGGGAAAGTCATCCTTCCCGATTTGATGAACTGAGTCGTCATTGAAAGACCAGGAAACCTTCACCAACCGACCCAATCCCGGGATAGAGGCGGGTGAATACTCATGACTTGTTTCGTCGTGAAGCTCTCGGGTAATCGAAGCCATACTGGCCCAAAATCTTCCCTCAAACTAGCGGCTAAGTCCTATGTCTGAATCAATGGATTCAAAATGACAGAGTTCTATTGTTTGAAAGCGGTCTTGGTCCAGATAGTATCATGCTAGTCACACATTATTGAGGTTACTTGAAAAGGGTCGATCTCAATGTACAAACACAGCGCATCATCTGGGATACAAGGTAATATTGATATTCAACTCCACTCTCAATTCCACTCAGACCACAAACTCCAAGCTGCACCATCCACTGTGACTCAAGCACCCGTGCGCATGAAGACATTAGACGGCATGTCCCGCTGTCTAAACTCTTCATCGACAACGTACGGAATCTCCCCTCCCTCTTGCTGGAATCCCAACTTAGCATAAACACGTCTGCCCATTGTTGATGCCTCAGTGGTAGCCTCAAGACCACCTCGCCGTTTCGCCTCATCAAGACCCCAACTGGACCAACTTGGCTGCGATTCCCCTACGCTGATAAGCAGGGTCGACCGCGCACAGATCCTGTGGCATTTGGAGTCAGTGATTGTCGTTCAGGGATACAGAAAGAGTAAGAAAAGGCTTCAATAGATGTGTCTCAGGACTAAGTTTCCAGTTTTGAACTGTGTCTTTGTCTCGAAATACGGCTACAATAAGTGAAGATGACATCCGAAGTTGCTTACCAAGACCATTAATGATGGCGGCGAGACTGACGCTTTCTCCTTTACGACCTCTAATCGACGTGCATGAAGTGAGCCCAAGGCTTGGCACAAATAACGTTGCTCTGACTGATCTCCAGGATAGAGTTCCTCGAGATCCAGGTCCTTGTGAAGATCATTCGATGGCGTGTCACCGTGGCCACCCACCATGGACAGCTGCACCCAAATTGCTATGCCGACTACTCGTTCTTGGCTTCCGTTGTTTGTCTCTGGCATTGTTGCCTTGAGAAACACAGTGTTTTCTTGGCCCTGGTCGTCCTTTGTAGCAGCACGCCAGCGCTTCACAAAACGCGCAGCCCCGCGAGCCCTACCATCGACTGTATCCCATCCTGGATTCATTGCTCTCCAGATGGCATCACGTGTCTGCCGGCCAAAGGCCTCACAAACACAGTCGAAACCCCGTGCAAGGTCCTCAGGCTTTTCCACAAGCTCAATACGCGCCTCAGACATGACGATGGTGATCTGTCCAAAGCGGGGTACGGAGTTTTCGCTGTTAGAGTATGATCCTATCGCAATCAAGTCCAATTCATGTACTTTGAGCACCATGCACTCTCTCAATATAGATTATCTCAAGAAAGCCGGTATACGGTAGATTTTCGGCGACGATGACAGCGCAACGTAGTTCTGTCCTCAATGCGGCAGTGTCTAGCCGAGCTGTGACGACCCATCTGGCCAGAATGACTCCACGTATTAGCTAATGGCCAATGGCTAATTAGGTAGCGTCTAGCCGTGATGGAAGACAGAAACGACATGTTTGATGCATGCGCGCCGAATCTCGAGATAGACATCTTTCTTGCGATTGTTGTTCTTCGAAGATCTCTTCTGGTACTAACAGGAAGAATATCCTACTGGCTGGCATTGTTCGGCAAGGGTCGCGATTGCTCGTAATCATCTCGCAGAGAATTTGGGCATGACATTCGCCTTGTCTCGGCCAAAATGGCCACTAATTACGGCGCCATAGAATGCGCGTTGAGTTACTTAAGGCTTGGATAGAGCGGAATGCGGCTGGCGGAGGTCGCAAACGATGAATATCATCTCAGAATCTCAGGCAGAGACCGACAAGCCGAGTCAATCTGTCAGCCATTCTGTAAGTCAGGTAGGTGGAGAGAAGCTGTTCCTGAGCTTGGAACTTTGAAAGGAGGTGTTTCGGGGCATCCTAACCCGAAAAGGTTGCATTCGGGGGCGAGATCCCACCATGCCCCCTTCCAATTTGCTATTCCCTCCTGTAGAAATAACCATATGACTGCTGTCTCAGGTCCCTCGAAGCACTTCTCTACCTGCGACGTAGTGCAACTCCTCGCACGCCCATGTGGCATGTAGCCGGTGTCCTTCATTATTCAATATACCTCAGCAGCCACCAACTCATCCTCCACTACCAAGCCTAAGAGCCCACGGGCATCTCAGGACCAAGACATAAGCCCAGCTTCGTCTTGACCTGGGAGGAAGATCCGCCTGTGTCCGTCCAAGCCACGAGAATACGGCGAGTATCCGCAGTCTGCATCGTCTAGGTACATGTACTTGTACATTACGGTGGCAGTTTGCTGCCCCGCCTACGATTCATCGCCGCTTTCCCCTTCCTGTCGACGGACGTTGGAGATAAAATAATTACAGCTTGGCTGTACGGCCCGCCTTGGCTGCCAATCGCGCCACCCAAGGATTTCTTTCTACGTACTTACCAGACCAAGGAGAGTCTGTCAAGTTCTGCGGGCTCGATCAAAGTTTCATCACACGAGACCATGTGGTGTCCCCGCAGACGAGTCCGTCAATTAACGAGGCCAAGCCAGGCAGCGTACCATCTTGGGGCTTTGTTCTGTGCCATCAATGTAGCCTCAACTAACCTGGCCAAGCTGGATATCCGAATGGATGCCACTCATAAGGACCCTTCCTAGCCCCTGGCATAATGCCATTGTTTGGGCAATTCCGCCAATGGTATGTTAGGGGCAATCTATATTGCCCTCGCTATGCTCACCCGAGCGCCCCGTTGAAGGAAGATTCCGAACGTTTTTAGATTACCAGGTCAGGAGCAAGTGCGTCCCTGGTCTCGATTCAAAGCACCTCTCGATTATATAGTTCTTCAGACTCCAGCTACTCTATCATACTGAGTGGCAGTGGTGGTTACCGCGCTCCGAACATCTTTGTAAGTGTTTCTTTCGGATGGGGATCAAGATGCTTCTCCAATTATTCCTGTTGTCCGTCTTTGCTTTCTCGTCTGTGCTCGGTGCTTTTGGTTTCACCAAATCAGGAACCAACTACATCGTCGACGCCGGGTCGGACAATCCTCTCATCTTCCAGGTCAGCTCAACCAGCTGCGACATTAATTCGATCAAATATCGTAGCGTCGAGCTGCAATACTCCGGCAAGGGCTCTCACATCTCGTCTGGATTGGGTACCGCGACTGTATCCGTTTCTCAGATTAGTGGTTGGTAAATGATCTCGCCGAGAGCTAGTGCCTTACTAATACCGAGAAGGATCCTCGAATTATATCAAAATAACGTGTGTTACATCAACATTGACACAGTACATGGTTGTTCGCCAAGGAGAGAGCAGCATTTACATGGCGACATACATTACTGCAGAGCCAGACATTGGTGAGCTGCGCTTCATTGCTCGCCTGAAGCCGGATGTGCTGCCGTACGAGTACCCGTACGGTGATGTCTCAACCACCGCAGATGGTACCGCCATTGAAGGCTCTGATGTGTTCCTTGTCGATGGAGAGACCAGGTCTAAATTCTATTCCTCTACTCGGTTCATTGATGAGAATGTCCACTGCGTCTGGGGTGACACTGTCGATACAATCCACGCATGCATCATGACGCCACAGCAAGAGTCGAGCTCCGGCGGACCATTCTTCCGTGACATCGATAACAATAATGCCGGCGACAGTACAAACTTGTACAATTATATGAACAGCGGCCACGCGCAGACCGAATCCTTCCGAACTGGCTTGCATGGGCCATATGTGATGCAGTTCAGCCGTTCTGGAATTCCTTCGGTAAAGAGCATTGACACATCCTTCTTTAGCGAGCTCAGCGTCACAGGCTATGTCGCGGCATCGTCTCGTGGCTATGTTAGTGGCACCGCGACTGGTGTCTCTAGCTCTTTCCAGGTTGTGGTTCATTGGTATAACTCCGCTGCCCAGTACTGGGCGGTCGCTTCTTCTAGCGGAGCCTTCACCTCCCCAGCGATGAAGCCCGGTACATACACGATGGTACTTTACCAGACTGAGTTCAAGGTCGCCAGCACGACTGTGACGGTATCTGCCGGCCAAACGACTAGCAAGAGCATTGCCAGTACCTTCTCAACCAGCCACACTACTCTCTTCAAGATTGGTGAGTATGATGGCCAACCTACCGGCTTTCGCAATGCGGATAAGTTCCTGCGCATGCATCCATCAGATAGTCGTATGAGCAGCTGGGGGCCACTGACTTACACCGTCGGTTCATCCGCCTTGAGCGACTTTCCTATGGCCATCTTTCAAACGGTGAACAACCCCGTGACCATCAAGTTCACGCTCTCGTCTGCACCTGGTGCTGCAACTCTCCGAATCGCGACCACGCTTTCTTTTGCCGGCAGCCGTCCACAAGCAAAGGTGAATAGCTGGACAGGACCGGCCCCGGCCGCCCCAACCAAGATTGATAGCCGAGGAGTGACAAGAGGTGCATACCGAGGCTACGGGGAGGTATACGATGTCAGCATCCCATCTGGAACACTTGTTGCCGGCAGCAACACAATCACAATCACCTCTATCTCCGGAAGCAGCGGCGATACGTTCTTGAATCCAAATTTCATCTTCGACTGTGTCGAACTCTTCACAGGTACGACTTCTCAAAGCTCTACCACACAGATTGCCACCCCTACCACGACAGCGAAGCCTATGACTACGTCAACAAGCGGAGCTACGCAGACGCAATATGGCCAATGCGGGGGCACCGGTTACACTGGGCCTACAGTGGTATGTCGATTTTGATCACTGCTAACATGCTACAGGCTGATACTTCCCAGTGCGCAAGTCCGTATTCCTGCACTTATTCGAATGAATGTAAGTTGCGTGCCAGCTCAGATCTCATGTGCCAGCTGACCATTGTCCCAGACTATTCGCAATGTCTCTAAATATGCTGAACTAGCATCCCTCAAATGACACGACCAAGACATAGACGGCTTCATTGTAAATAGTTTTCATCATTTTCGCTGTATATAGTTCCATGAACACCAACAAAAGCCCATTGGCTTCCGCAATACACGTACAAAACAGACTTTTCTCTGCTATAGCCGGAGCTGGTCCCTTTCAGCAATACGTCCGCTCAGAAGACACAGCACTTGTAGTCGCTACCCCCTGGGCAAAGGTCTGCCTCTGATCAATCACTGCTTTCTGCCAGGGTCTTGGATGTACAGTTACTCACTGCTCTTCCACTTTCCACTGCCTGGGTCTCCTAGTGGACAGGCATGACTTGTCCACTCACAATAGCTGTAACCTTCTGGATGCGTAGAGTCGCAGGTGTTGACATAGCAGCACTTCACATTGCTGGGGTCGTCAGGACACAGTCCGCTTATGTATGTACCGCCGTACTTGTCGCAATCGGATGTTTTCACGCAGATGCCAGACCAGCTAAAGGAGCCGTAGCCATACTCGTTATGGCAGTGGCCACCAACCTTTGCGGAAACATGGGGCAGCAGGGGCAACAGCGATAGGATCAACTTCATATTTACGACCAGCTCACTTTCCCTGAAGGTCAAGCAAAGAAGGGGTTTATCATCACAGAGTTTCTGAAAGCCCAGGAGACATCATTGCATTCTTAAAACATACTTAGAATGTAGGCATGAGTTTCTAAGAGGTCTTGAAAGAATAATACGGGGAAACTCCTGGCCGATTGCAAATGAGATTTCTCGAGAAGCGAGTATTGAAGTGACATCCAGACTTTACATTCGACAAGAGATATTGGGCGATTGCTTTTATTAGCCTGATTGGCGCTCCCATGGGCAAGACATGGCTGTGGCTGGCCAAGACTGCAGGGTGAACCCCGGATTTGCTCGCATCCAGTGAGCTTATTATAGACGACGGGATAGGGCGTAGAACACGGCCAATGACCAATGACCTCGACCATGCATTTGTATGACTTGGCTTGTCTAGGTGTGTTGGACTGGAACGTAGTTGGAAGCATGAATTGATTACCTTCAGCATGGATAAATGCAGAAGACCTTCCTGGCTGTAGAGAAATAGTTGATGTGAGTTGCGGGATAGAGACAATGAAAAGATAAAACCAGTGCTTTCCAATGGTCTGTTTGATGCAACAACATCTTTCTTCGAAATAAGAGTCCCTAGTCTATGGTCAAGAATGATGAAGATGAAATGAGTTGTAATTATTCATATGCTGGGGTATCTATCATCAAGCTCTATGCTCAATGCATGTCTGTCTGTTGTCTAAGCCGCTTCAGCTGCTGGCGCTAACTGCCTCCACCTCCACCTCCGCCATCACCGCCACCGCCTCCTCCATCACCACCGCCGCCCCCATCTCCTCCTCCTCCCCCACCGCCGTCACTGCTAGAGAAGAACCCGAGCAGACCTCCGTCGAACCAGCCAACGCCGCCGTATGTCTGGCGACGAGATTGCTTATATCGTTTGTACTGCCGCCGCCGTCTTCGCCGACTCCACGACCAGTATGCCCCCTTTTTGTAGTTTTCTGGCGTGTAGACGCCGCTGTAAGCAGGATAGGCCGTGTATGCTGCCGGCTGTGATGCAGCTCGAGCCCGTTCCGGGTAATGATGGCGATGGAACTGTCGCGCAGGGCTTTTAACGGAGTTCTGCACTCAGAGGCATGTTATAGTGAGAGAAATAGCCACTTACACCAAAGCACATCCTTCCGTCTTGATTGATGTGAGGATGATTCCAATGTACAAATGCGCAATACCCGCTGGAACTGTAGCAATGTCAGCCCTTGTATTTGTATTCACGGCAGACAAGTTGCTAAGGCGCATCAGCTGTGAGCCCCGTAGAGCGCCTTGATCTGCCAGAAGTCCCTTGGCGCTGGGGCTGAGCTGCACACTATCTCTACTTAAGTGTAGTGAAGAATGCTAAGGTTACCTAAGAGTGCAACCCCACAAACCGCCCGGCCTTCAGGAGAGGGGACATGACGACGTCTCAAGTTTACCTATTATCGACCAAGATGGCAGATATCGTGTCATGATGTCTTTCTTCAAGCTTCTCACTCCGATTGATTGATTGGGGTTGCGTTGATGGCTGTTTACAAGAAGTCTATTCCCCAATTTTGTCTTTTCTATACAAGGATTGAGCACTGATTGCGACCGTCGAATCTCCGGTTGCTTCAGAGACAATCTCCCAGTATAAGTACGCTGGAGTGTTTCAAGTTCAGGTAAGAAATCGACAAATTGGCCGGTCGAGGTCAGAACGACGCTGGCAAACCAGATCTCCACGTTAGCCCGAAACTCAATCTGTCTTCTGCACCTTCTGCAGCTCTCTCCACTCGTCTTCTAACATGCTGAAGCCGAGCATGTCATGCCACTCCCCATTGAACCACAGGTAGTCTCGCTTTCTGCCCTCGAGCGTGAAACCTAACCGCTCGTAGAGACGTCCAGCACCCTCGTTGTACTCAAAGCTTTCGATGCCGATGCGATGCAAACCCGCCATCTGGAACCCCCATTGGAGGACCCACTGAATGGCTTCGCTCCCGTAGCCTTTCCTCTGGTGCGAGGGGAGGACATCGACGCTGATGTTTGCGTTGCGATGATGAGCGTTGTGAGGCGAAGTGCCGGTCAGGGTGACGACGCCAATGGGCTCCGGCGTCGATTCGGGATCGGTCAAGGAAGTGACGCAGAAGATGGCAGATATGAGAGTCTTCTCGGTCAGATACTTCCTCCAGCCCTTTGTGCTCTCCTTGTTTTGCGGTTTGGAGAGGCCGACGTTCGAGTTGGCAAAGCCCTCAATGTCGGTGGTGATGCGGTGCAGAAAGGCCTCCTCTTCGGGGCTGTCTTCGACGGCGCGATAGACGAGGCGCTGCGAGCGGAATATGTTTGCTGTCATTGTGCGAGAGTGAAGAAGTTCCTGGCCTCATCGCCTTGTCTTGCCTTGCCTTGCTTTGCCTTGCCGTGCCTTGCCGTGCCTTGCCTGGAATGTCTCGAGTATGCGCTTCTCTCAATGTCGGTGACTTCTCGAACGCCTCTTAGTTATTTATACTCCAAGCGTTTGTGCTGCAAGGCAAAACGAAACGAATCAGGTACAGCAACGCAACATAAAGTCCGTTGGCTCCTCCCAAGGTCCGAGATGAACGTCCGACGCCCTCATCCAGGAATTGCTGGGCGCGTAAGCTTGTTCTTGAACGGCAGTGGGCCCTGAAGGATTTTCGCCTGCTATAATATGCAGGAAGTGACAATTGCCTTCCTAAAGTGCGCTATGCCGTCAAAACTCCAGCGTGCCCATGCCCGAAGTCCAGAGCAACGCCCGGCTGACTCACGCCGGGAGGGCGGCAGCATCTAGGCCCTGGCTTAGTGCACGATCATGACAGTGGATGGAACCAGCACCGGCCGGCCCGGGGATGCCCCGTCCGTTCGTAATGTGGTTCATTCCGACTCTTCACGTCGTTTACGAAATCTCGCTTTTCAAAGCGTGCGCGCGTCTGTCCATCTCGAGGTTGCACAGTATGGGTACGATACATGTCCTCCAAATGGGGCTCCTTGCTCCGTCTTCTCCTTCGAATTTCAACATCATCCAGCTCTGTCTCTCATGTCCCAAACCAGGGGCACTATTACCTCAAAACTTTTGATATGGATATATGCATATGTATCAAGTATCCTAGAACGGACAATTGCTCGTCTTCACTGTACCTTTTGGGTAACTTCAATCGTTGACAGTCCTGCTTCTAGCCCAATCAATGTGTCTGTCCACGTACATGTCTGCGAAACATGACTACTAACCGTTCGCGATGGTCGCATTCGCCTGATACTTAGAAATAGACCTAGCCAGTAAAAGAGAGTCCATCGTAACTCGTTCTTAAAAGAGTCTAACAAACAGATCATCGGAAGCTTCAATTTCTCCGAGAATGAGAACGAAACGATCACCATTCTTCACTTCTACGGGGTGCCACCTCGGACCTTGACCAACGCTTACCGGATCCAGCTCGCCGAAGCGCTCAACATGGCTGCTGATTGGGCCCTGCCTTTCGAGGCTTACAGGCCGAGAAGAGGCAGGGTGAGTGATGCCACAAGACTCGCACGCAATCGCGCGCAGCTTGGACAATGCGGCATATAACCAGCTATAGCTCGGAAAAAGCTCCCAGTTTTGATATTTGGCAATTTTATTTCCATCTCTCTTTGTAAAAGTGTAGCTTTTGGTCGTAATGTCAAGGAATACTCCAGTCATGAAGGCTGTCAGCCATCGCCAACATCTTCAACTCGATTTTCAACCACGTAACCCAAGCTTTATCCTGGAATGGGCAACAAATACACACGATGCCTTAGCGAACCATGGCGCAGTTCCGTCCCTTCAATCCACAAGCTTGTCAAATCGTTTTCAATAAATCGTATCTCGATTTCTAAACAATATTAATATACATCAAATGTGCGACTTTCACTGAGCACCGGCATCCATTTCTTATACGCTGCGACCCATCTCATCCGTGAACAACATGCCGGCAATGCTGGCAGAGGTCAGAGTTGCCAGAACACCCGAGAACAGGGCCGAAAGAGCGACGCGCGACACGTCGCCGGCTCGGCCAGGGGCGATTTGCGACAGAACACCAATCTGGGTACCAAGAGATCCGATATTGCCAAAGCCCTACAACGTGAACCACAATTAGCAACAGTCCGCCCGCACAATCCAGTAATTACTTTGGGGGGTGGGGGGAGGGGGCTACTCACACAGCATGCATAGGTGGCGATGAGTCGTGCACGAACGGTCATGTTCATGTACTTGGGCAGGGTAGTCAGGTCGTTGAAGGCGACATACTCGTTGGTGATGATCTTGATGCCGATGAGCTCGCCGACGTTTCGCAGATCCTGCTTCGGCACTCCGAGCAGCCAGGCCACCGGGTAGAGAATGTAGCCGAGAATGAGCTGCAGGGTCAGCGGATCCGGGTCGGTGATGTTCCAGTACGTGCCCCACCAGGTCAGGAAGGCGTTGATGAGCCCGACCAGGGCAATGATGCAGAGCAGAGTCGCGATGATCATGCCCGCAATCTTGATGCCGAGCCATGCGCCGTTGGCGAAGGCGTGCAGGCTGTTGACGGATCTGTGCTCCGTGTCATCGGGAACCACGACGCGGCCGGAGGTCAAGGTCTCCTCCGTCTCGGGGTAGCGGAGCTTGGACACGGCGAGAGACGCAGGGATGGACATGATGCACGACGACACGAGGGCTTGAGGGTTCAGGCCCAAGCTCATATAGGCAACGAGCACGGATCCGGCGATGGTGGCAAAACCGCAGGTCATGACCTGATGGAGCTCGGCGAGGGTAAGGTGGGGGACGAATGGGCGGATCAGCATGGCGGACTCTCCCTGGCCGATGAAGGGAGTAGCGGCAGCGACGACGGCCTCGGCACCGGATACGCGCAGAGTCCAGAAGAAGAAGACGGCAAACTTGCCAATGAACCACTGGATGAATCCAATGTGGTACAGCAGTTGCACTAGGGCCACGAAGAAGATAATGGGTGGAACGACGCCGGTCAAGAACCAGTGCAGATCAAGTACTGATGAGGCGGTCAGGAACTCGACACCCTCGTTGGCGAAGCCCAGCAGGGTACGGGCGAGGAAGCTGATGAAGTTGAAGATGTCGTAGCCGGCCTTTGTCCGCAGCACGAAGACGGCGATGATGAACTGGGTCAGCATGCCGCCAATGACGGTGTGCCACGGGATCTTGCGCCAATCGCGTGAGGTCACCGTCAAAAGTGCGATCATGACCAGCAGGCCGAAGATGGAGATGGCACGGTTGGCGCGGGTATTCTCGCCGGTCTCATCGGGTACGAATGAGCCGATGAGGAAGACGCCAAACGTCACGAGGGCGGCAAGAGGCTGATGCAGCTTGGCAGGAATCACCTCGTAGCCCTTGTACACCGTGTGGAACCAGACGAATTTGACCGGACGCATGACGAGGGCGATAGGGACCCAGAGGAAGATCATGCGCAAGGTGATGGCGATATACAAAAGCGTTGGCTTCAGCCACCCATAGTTGTCACTGCGATGGAAATACAACCCGTAAATCCACCAGCTTTGGAAAAAAACACTCAATGTCAGCATATCCGTGCTTAGAAATGACGAGAAGAAATGATCTGGGGTGAGGATCAAGAGAATGAAGCTGAGGAGAACTTACGCGGTCCAGACCATCCAGAAGGCTAGGTGGAAGAAGGGCTTGAACTGGGTGTAGATGCGGCGAATGGTCCACTTGCGCTCGCGGCCATCGTGGATGGAGCCGACATGGCCGCCGTCTTCGGGATCGAGCGAGTTCTCGTTGACGTTCTGGCCCTTGAGATCGTACTCGGGGGTGGCGGCGGAGGCGTCAAGCAGGTCGCTCCCACGAACCTGCTCGGTGTCCCTAGCGTACATGACCTCATGCTTCTCGTCGGGGGTTGCGGCTGTTTTGCCGTGGTGGAGGTGTGCATGGTGATGCTCGTGGGAATACTCGAGGGCTGGATCCGGATTGCTCGCAACACCGACTTGGGAGGATGAATTGTGGCCGACATGCTCATGCGCATATCCGTGCTGCTCATGAGGGTATGACGCCGGCTCCCGCACCGGGGATGGCGACGATGCGCCGGGGGTAGCCGGGCCAATGTGTTCGTTGGAGTTCATGGCGACGACTGCTATACAGCAAGTGGGAGCTGCTATGAGGAGATGAGATGAATCTGTTGCTCTTTCTGGGGCTGCTCAATTCCTTCCCCGTACGGCCTCCGAAGTTTCACTGTATGATTGAGGGTGGACGAGGGCCAGCAATCAGGGCTGGGAGAGAGAAAGTCAGAATTGCAAAGTGAGAGATGTCTGAAGACGCACAGCCGAAGCCAAACAGCATCAACGTCAACGTCAACACCAGGACGAATCAGGGCCAGGACCAAGACCAGAGCAGAAGGCAGCCGGGGAAGAGGAGGCCGTCGAGAAGGGGACGATCGTTGCTTAAGTAGTCATGGCTGATGGTGTGGTGTGGTGGTGGTGCTGTCCGACAAAAAGTTGTGCGCATGTCAGTCAGTCAGTGTGTAAGTGTGTGTGTGTGTGTGTGTGCGCATCGAGAGTGGAGTCTAATCGATGCCCACGTCTCGGTACCTCCCATATACCTTCCTCTACTTCTACCTCTTCCACATTCAATTCTCGACTTCTTGCTACTAGCACCAGTCTGGTATCTGCAGTACCCTTACCTACCTTACGTTGCTTGCCCTAGAACAATTGACCCTAGCATGAACTTATCCCGAGCAGGGAGGTGGAGGTGGACGAGCTGACCTTCGCTGCCTCGCCTCACCATACCCCGACCTTACTACAGAGGCCCTTGCCGTGCCTTGGGTCAGTCTACTCGATACCCTTGAAGATGCGTTGGTGAGAGGGTTGCAGGGCAATTTGAGTCCGAGATCATGCTTCTGTACGATATCGTACCATGGCATACCATAGCGTTGCACCGCATGCTCTCGTTCATTCATTCCTGGCCCTCTACTGCAGCTTATGCTTATGCTTGTGTTCCCGCAAGCGAGCGGCTACCAGCAATTCTTTTCTCGAAGGTTAGCGAAGGTGCGGTCTCACCTCTCACACACGGGTCCTCTCGCATGTGAAGAAAGGGCAGCAGAGAGAAGGAGGATCGATCAGTTCTAGGAGACGGAAGTTCACGACTCACGGTCTCCTTGAGTCCTTGACCGACTACAGTACTTTGTTTGTACAGTTCAATGGACGGTTCATCTTATCAGCCTGTCATTTAGTCAGGCATCCACCCAATTCTCTCTCAATCCCCAAAGTTATCGTCGTCCCATGTCATCAAGCTTGCCACTTGCCCCTCGCTCGGCTGGCCACCCTCCATTCATGGGTTCAATGGACTCTTGTCCCTCGCTCAGAGTACAGCGTCGTACAGTACGGGCTTCTTGGTTACGCAAACAGGCGGTACCTGGCCATGATTGAAGAGCGGCAGTCTGAGTTCATCACATTGCCATGCCCAGGTAGTGCGACACAATGCCCTTACTCGCTGCAAGTACAGGATAGTACGGCACAGTACAATGCTATCTAGCAAAGATGGGACAACGGCCGCTAACTTAGGCCCAGGCAGGTAATTCTCAAGTGGCGCGCCAGGCTCTTCCAGGGGGTGCTGCCCTAGTGCTAACGCCTCTTCTTCCCCCGATCCAGATGACGCCTAGGGCTCATCGGCTCGTCCCAGCGAATGGCAACTGAGGCGGAGGTTTGCTCGGAGCTCCAGATAAGGCGCTGCCCTGTGAGAGGCTGGTGGCGCGGCAGCCAAGAGCCTCGAGCGGACACTCTTTCGGGGGCCCTAGAGTTTACTCAAGCCACCAAGAGCCTAAAGGATCTACCGCATAGCAGGGGGGCCAGGGGGGCGCATCGGCGTCTCCCCTAGATGGCGCTGGAAGACGTCTGGAAGCTTTTTGGCCCGTCCACGTTCAGTCGAGACATTCTGCTTCCCCAGACAGCTAGATAGCTTGAGCAGCCAATGATGCTTCCTAGAACGGTGCGTACTGCACGGGGGAACCGCTGGACACAAAGTACCTTTACAGTACCTAACAGTCCTATGCGAGTACCGTCCCAGCGCAGTCCCGAGATTGGCTAGGCTAGATATTGTCGTGTTGCATGCCTCGCATGCCTCCCGGACGACCTACCTATTCATCTACCGAGCTGCTGGGGCAGCCTTCGTCAGTGCCTCTACTATGCAGTATGTCCCTTCTGTGGCGTCCACCCTGGCACCGGATACGGTTGGTTCCAGCATCAAAGACTACTCACTCTGATCCATTCTCACGAGAATGATAGATGACCAGCAATGCGTAGGCTTGATAGGAAAGCAGTCTTGATTCTCCCTTTCCCAGCCTGGCTGTCATCGCCGAGGAGCTAGATCTAGGCGCGTCTTGGCCCTCTGATAAGAGCTTCCAGTGCCGGGCCTGACTGGCGGCGAGTGAGTGGGTGGCGGCGAATGCGGATGGCCATGCTTGCTGTCTGTCCGACTGTGTCGCCAAATTATCACTATCAGGATCATTGTCGCTCTCATCGTCGTCGTCTTTGATGATCTCGTTTCATTCCCTCCCCTCTCACTAATCCTGTCTTCCAGGCCAATCCAATCCAATCCAATCACACGCCCTAACCTCTGCCCCCTCTTATGAGGCGCTGGCTCTCCGGGCCTTTTCCTACCTTACACTGGTGGATTGGCCGTGCCGCGGCTTCGGATTGGCGACCAGGATAGGGAGGAGGCCAGCCACTTGCCGGGCGCCCGCTGGAGCTGCCCAGCATTTTAGCACTGATTGGCGTTGTGCTGATCCTGGATAGGGCCCGCACGTGCTGTGCATGGCTATGGATTCCCCCCAATTGTCCCGATCTGGAAGCTCGATAACAGCCAGCCGTGGAAAATACCATGTACACACAACGACGGGTGATTATGGAGGTACCTACCTGGAAGTTGTGTCCTTGGATTGACGATTTCAAGTGCTCAATCCGCCTTGCATTCTCTCATTTGAAACTTATGAGCCTGCTGTCAGGTGGGTCTAACCGAGCCGCAGCCCGTGTGCCTATTCGTCCATCTACGATCATCTCACAGCATCGAATACATAATAGAAATTCTCTTAGACTAGACTACGGTTTGACCCGTTGCGGTGCTAATCCATACGCCTGAGTCGCATGGTCTGAAAATTTGTCTCTCGGTGGCATTGGTCAGTCGATTCGATACCCTAATCAGGTCTTCTTCCCCGGCTACAACAGATGCTTTTATCTGTTAATCAGACAATTTCGTCTCGCACAATTGCTAGATGTCATCGCGAGTACTGATATCGTACAGTAGTAGGCCAGGCCAAAGGCTCGCCTTCGCTGCTATCAAACCCAAGCACCATTCGATGCCAAGACGATAGCCGATAGGGTAGCGATTCATGTGGCGCGCGCTGGCATCGTGGCACGGCACACTGATTGAGATTTCAGTGTCGTATCACAACATCGAGAGATAAGATTCCAGCAAGCGGAGGTCAAACCACCCAACATAGCACTATCCAGGCGAGACGAGACAGGCACTGGTTGTGGTTTACTGGCAAACAAAAAGCTGTATAAGCCTGCTAGCTTGTCAAGGCCGCTTCTCTTTCCCCGATTGTATCTCTCCCTGGCTCATTGCTTACCTGCCTGGAATTTCCAGCGCAAAGGTTTATGCTGTACGCGTAAAATTTTGCTCGCGTGCTGCTATGGTCGACATTTCACAAATCCATGTCTATCTGGGGTTGCGGACTGCTGCACCTCCTCCACCACATGCCCCCCAGATTGATTGATTATCAGGATGTCCGACGGAGCCAGATAAGCGTACTTGGCATACTCGTTTAGCTACTATTTGCCTCTCGGCGAGAGCGATGCAACCCAAGCGCTGCAGTACATTACAGGCGAATGCTCAATGGTACATACAAAGCTACCGGAGCAGTTCGTCTTATGTGAGACACAAAGTCCCAATCCCTGCGGCTGGCTCTCCCAGCGCAGCGCCGCAGGGTTGCAGAGTGCCAAGATCCTGGGAGCCGAGGACTCCTTGAGAGCCCTGCTCTTCCGCGATGCCTCCTGCCACATTGAGCTTAACAATCCGTCCAGCTTGGGCAATATGAGGCGACAGACGCCGGTTTCCGATATCGACGGCGGCCAACTCCTTTGACTATTTATCAAAGGACCATACAAACCTCCAAACCTAAAGCAAGCCTGCGCATTGAATCACAAGGAACAACAAGTACGGTTTCTGACTGGGGCCATCGACTTGGAATCGTTCTCGTTCTGTTGATGGACTACGACCGTACAATCTTGGTTTTGCCTATTTGAGTAAGCGGACACGTATTGATGCCAGAGCGGTGGTAAACATATCCAGGAGAAAAGCAAAGTTCTGTGTCTGCTCAAGAAGACTTGATTGTTTTTCTCCTGGAATTTTGTTGATGATCTGCGTATGGGGCGTACTACTGCATCCAACGCGCTCCCAGGCGAGGAATGGCTATTTTGGAAGATGTAAGCAAGGCAACTTGTCGAGTCTGACAGGTCGCTTGGGAGCTGTTTTACACTATCAACTAACAACTAATCTGGTCACAAGAACATTAGAGACGTTCCCCATACTTGGATAGCCATTTCTCTCTGCATAGAGTTTCACGAATACTTGTGATACTTGGGTTGGCTCTTAAGTCCTCATCGAATGAAGGCAATCATGGATAGATACGGAGATTTCAAATTTGCGTTTTAGGCTCACAGTATGGGCACACCAAGGTTCCTCTGCTGTGTTACTTCCACTGTTTCGTCAAGTTACACTCGAGGGCCAACTCACCCTCATCACCGTGAGCTACCGAAACGGGTGTACCATCTAGGTTCTGTCTATAAACTTCAGTCAAACAGCCTTCGCTACACCGGCTTCCCTAGGGTCGGTCGTGTTCCTGTTTGCGGAGTCTTCAGCAGCCAGGTGAGTGCTTTGCGCTTCGTCGATGAGGTTTGGCGTGCCGAAAAGACGATCCATGTCCTCGAGTTGCACACCTTTTGTTTCAGGATAAAGGAGAAAAATGATCTAGTTGAGCCATGAGTATCTGTGTGCACGACTCGCAAGTAAAGCATCGCTAAGAGTAGAGCTGTACTCACAGGCACACAAACAAGGTTAATAGCCATGAAGAAAAAGTATATCTTCACTCCAAGTCTGTCTATACCAACGGGCCATACTTGGGCTACGATGATGGAGCCAATAGCACCTCCTGAAGCTGCGAAATTGAGGCCTCTCGCACGGACAGCAGTAGGGAAGATCTGCAACCAATTTAGTCAAGGTCTTCGAACTATATTAACTTAGTGAACGCACCTCTGAACCGTAGACCCAAGCTGCAGGACCAAAACCCATACTGTAGCCAATTGCGTAAATGAATATGAATACAATGCATGTGTAGTCTGCTGCCCGGTTGACGTTGCCAGGATATGCGAGTGGAACAGCACCATTAATCTGTCATAAAGCAGGTTATCAGAGCGGTCTCCTCCGCAAACTATGCCTTGATTGATTACTCACCAACATCGCAAACGCCATAGTCCCCGCACCTATAACAAGTGTCAAACGGCGTCCTGCTTTGTCGATGATCAGCATGTCGAGAATGGTACAGCCAATTTTCGCTGTACTCTCAATGCCACCAGCAAGTAAGCTGAGCCGGGTTCCAAGCCCAAGGACTTTGAAAAGTGTGGGCAAGTAGTACTTCATCGCTGTTGCACCACACATCTGCGCCATGAACTGAAGAAGAGCAGCACGCCAAAGACGATTAAACAGGGCTGGTTCTCTGAACAGTGAAGTCCATGTCAAACCGGATGCCTTGAAGGCTGTAACACTCGCTTGTATGTCAGCAAATTCAGCTTCAATCTGGTCTTGTGAATGAGACCCTTCTCGGAAGTAGGTGAGGGTCGCCCGAGCACGATCAAGGTCGTTGTGCTCAACTAGCCAACGAGGACTGCGAGTAATCAATCAGTATACCAAAGAGCATGCATATTACCACCGATATGCGAAAAACATACGTTTCAGGGAGGAACGGCAGGCCGATAGCAAATATGAGAGCCGGGATCAGCTGCACGGCGATGGAGAAACGCCAGCCGACACGCTCGCCATGAGGATCGTCCCAGAAAGTCACAGCATATCCGACCCTATACTTATTGTCAGAACGCTTTCGCTCCAGTGGTGAGGCCAAAGTTCCAGCTCACCAAAAGCCAACAGCTAAGCCCGCAACAAACCCGATGTGGTTCATAACAACAAAGCGCCCGCGCTGTTTGGCAGGCGAGATCTCGCTACGTTGAATCCTCATCAGCTCCGAATAGTCTACATTCTCGACACTTATCGTAATACAGACCTTTGATAGAGCGGGACGCTTGTGCTGACAATTGCAACGCCTAGGCCGCATACGATACGACCTGCTATAATCATTGCAAAAGCACCTCCCCCAGTGGCTCCAGCCATCAGAGCAGCACCGATGGCGGTGATAGCTGTCCCCGTCAGAGCCGCATACCGACGACCGAGAGCGTCCGAGACCGGATGAGATATGAAGATATAAGACGTCCATGTACCCAGATAGTATATAGCAGTGATCAGACCTTTCTTCGAGGCGCTCGGCTTGTGCAGTGTCTTCACGAAGCCGGGATGTACAAGAACGGAAGAGAGTATTCCAACATTATACCTGCAGCTCAGGTCATCAGCTTGCGTCCCCTCTCCCTGAATATAGTACGCGATTACAGCAGCCTGGAGTTTCGAACATGCTTTAAGGCTCTGGTCATTGAGTCATTGACTTACCCCCATACAAAGGAGCCTAAGGCGAAGAAAAGACATAGCAGGTGAAGCCGTAAAATGGCTTTAGTGAGCAGAGGCTTACCGGTAGCCATCGTCTCAATTGGTCCAGAGATGCGTGTCTGGTGATAACTGTAATGGAACAGCCTGTGGTCGTGAAACGGGGAACCAATCCGACTTTATCTGCTCACAGGCTCAGCCGTTCACTGTCTGCACTTCTGCTTCTACCGATCCTCAACGTCGCAATCGACTGATCTTCCGGCACGGGACTGTCAGAACAAGAAGCCCAATCTGCCTGCTGCTGCATGTCATTTGGAGGGTGGCAACACGTCGTCTGTTAGTGCTACCCAATTCTCTGGGTCAATACGTAACCCCCATCTGGTAAGGGCAGAGCTCGGCGAATTATGAGGTGCAGCCCAGGTGGGGGAGATGCATCTTCAGTGACTAGACTGCCGCTTTTAGCGGAGAACTGCACGCAACTGCACGCTGGCTGCAGGCGCTCCTGGCGGGTCTGGCGCAAGTGATTGGCCTGGACAGTCGTGGAGACGGCAGCTATCGAGAACTATCGGCTTTTCAGCTGCAGAATCTAATGAATAGTTTGCAGGTGCCGGTAGATTGCTTTTTTTCCTTGAATGATCAAGAAAGAGCATGCTAAGCTCAACAAGTTTGATCATGGACATATGGGTATTTCTCAGCCGCGTGCAACAAGTCTGATCTCTGGTCTGCCAGCCAGTCCGAGTCTGAATACCAGCAAACTGAGATTCCATCGATAGTCATCGGTGGGGCTTTACTGCATTCTAGCAGAAATATTCTTTTTTTTTTTTCTCTATTGTTGGGCTCAAACATGGTTATATACCATGTAAGAGAATTCCATTAGATAAACAACAAGGTGTCTTTCTCTGTCGTGGAGAGAAGTAGCCGCGAAGTCAAGTTTCTAGCATTCCAAGCTCCTGACAACTGACACCTGCAAGTGACAGAAGTACGATACATGAGTGATTGCTACGTGAGTTCCCAACATGTGCATCTCCGTGCTGTCACCAGTAGTGGGCGCATGGCATGGGAACCACGTCCCGGGATCGACTCACTTCACAAATATGCGAACATATCTCTCTGAGCCGCCAGTTCCGTGTTCTCCCCTTCCGATCTTGACGTGTCAACGGCGGCTAATTAGTAGTGTGTAGAAGCTTTCCCCCGCACAAACTTCCCTGTCGCCAAGATGTGCCGGACTCCGGTACTCGTCACTCGCTAAGGCATTGCTTAATCAACTCGGCGAGTGCGTATGGTACAACAAATTGGCATTGTCATTTCAAAACGTAAGACTAGTTACCATAAAGACACGACAAGGTACCAGTATCTCAAGCTTAGACAGAAGAAAGTCTGCCCCAACGAACATGATAAAGCCTAATACCTTTGAGTGAGTTACCGGATCATAAGAACAGATATCAAATATTGCATGGGCTGCCATCTGTTGAACTGTAATGGTCTCAAAATTCTTATTCAAAAAGGGGACTCCCAATTTCTAATCCCCCGACTTCTGGGTCCCCAGATCTATGCATTAAGTTGACATGTTTTGCCCGTCAAGGTCTACTCAGACAACTGCGCCAGTGGCTTCCTGAAGAACACATTCCTCTCCCAACCGTCAATGTCATCCACAATAGTCTCCCGCGTCAATTCGTATCTGCCAATCTTTGGAAGAATCACAGCCCAAACAAGCCAATAGACTCCACCCGCGAAGATGATGCCAAAGCCAATAACACAATGGATCCAATACGGCAAGCTCTCGTAGACGTTTTGGCCGTCCTCCGGAGGTACAAAGGGTGCAATTACGAGATAGATGTTGCTGAGAAGAAAGAAGACGACAACTGGCAGCGTTGCACTTATAGGCGGGTTCCAGTTCCATGACTTTCGGTTGAGGTAGAGATGCAACAAACCGCCAGCAACAAATGTGTTGACAATCGCAAGAGGGTACGAGATGACACTAGTGAACTTAATATTAGCATTTTGGGGGCCATAGCGTTTGATGAAGATTAGCTAACTTGAGAATCAGATTGTATGCATCTCCGGGCGGTGGAGCAAGCATGATGATAACAGATACCAGCCAGTGCTCGAACAGACCGGCGAGAGGCGCGTTGAAGGGTCGGTTGCTTGCCCAGAAACGAGAAAAGGGGAGGATGCCCTCACGACCGAGCTCCTGAACCAGGCGACCCTGAGAGAAGATGACGCTGAGGACATTACCAAACGCGGACAGAGCGACAAACACGGAGAGAGCGCGCTCTGCGGTGCCACCAAAAACATTCCGAAAGAGAGAAGCGGCTACCAAGCGACGAGCTGCCAAGATCTCTTCCTTAGGAACGGCGGCAAAGTAGGCAATGTTGACAAACATGTAGAGAATAGACACGACCCCGATGGCCAAAGGGGCTGCAATCTTGAGCGTTCGGACCGGATTGCGGGTTTCGCTAAGGGCATAGTTGGCGTTGCTGTAGCCAATATAGCTCCAGATGACATTGTAGAGCGCAGTGACAACACCATATGCACTCCCAGTAGTTCCTTCAAAGGCATTGGTGAAGTTGTGAGGTTTCTCGGCAAGCTTGACGTGGCCGCCAAGTGCAACCCAGCCAGACACCACAATGATCAGCACGACGATGAGTTTAATTATACCGAGAAAGTTCTGGAGTCGGAGACCCCACTTGAGAGCGGTGCCATGGATCAGGAAGGCAGTGGTGATACAAGCAAGGCCGACACCTCGTTGGTTCCATCTATCAACTTCGACATTGGCGGCGTGAAGTATGTATTCGCCAAACACGACAGAATTGCTAGCCGCCCATCCGAGGAGAACAACGTATCCTGTGTACAAGCCTGTGGTGAGGAACTTGGGCTTCCGGAAGACATACTCGAGGTAGTTTTTCTCGCCGCCATTCTTAGGTATTGCCGTGCCGAATTCCAAGTAAACTGCCGTCCCGGCAGCGGCAATTAGCATTCCAGCGACCCATATGAACAAGGCCAACCCAACGCTGCCTGAGAGGCTGAGAATGGCACTGGGAGTAGCGAAAATGCCGGTTCCAACAATGCGATTGAATATTAGAAAGATGGCTGTCGGCACACCAATCTGTCTTTTGGCGTCACGGACCTGTTGCAGGCGTCCTATGTTGAGATGTTAGTAGGAGAGATGTGCATGAGCAACTCGGTAACTCGGTAATCCCATCTTACCAACTTCAGTGTCATTGTAATGGGGGGGAAGCTCTCCGTCCTTGTCCTCGTCCCGAACGAACCCTCTAGATGCAGGGGACGAGTCGTCCACGGCGTGCTTTGCGAAGAGTTTAGACATATTGACCCGATATGTTTGAAATCAAATATAGGAGAGGAGCCGTAGGAAACAGTCTAGCAACACTAGAAGACTTCCAGAAGATTTATGGTTCCCACAGCCCGCCTCGCGGAACCCACCAGCGCACATTGCATCAGCAGCACACGGCCTAGGCGCTGGCGCGATCAGAAGATGAGGCAATGCCATCTTACGGTTCGGACCGATGGTAGGCGAGGTTTAGAAGGTGCTTTGGTTACTTCTGGGCTTGTTGTGTGTCAGAGTTTCCTAATTCTGGGTTTTACACTAATGATGCGATATGTCGTGATCGCCCAAGAAAATTTTGCTGCGAAAAGGCGTCTCCGCCACGCAAAACGCGCACGATTCAGCCCAATGAGATCGCGAAAATCTGATGAATTCCGTATGCCAATGTAGACATGCCAAAACTATACCACAAACACCATTTCAGCTCGCAAATACGATTTCTTGACCACCGAGGCTTTCCTGAATCTAGCCGGTCTGTCTCACATGATAGAAAATCATCGGCAATCTGTCTTTTTATGATATGTTCGAGGCCCCTCAGGTGAGCGTGGGGTAGAACAAAAGTACTCCTCGAAATCTGCTGATATCGGTCATAGCGATAGAGAGCAGGCTTGAGCGATGTAGACTTGTGGAAGTCAGAGGTACGAATTTGAAGAATCATCCAAGCTTGTTGTTTGATACAGGTGTAGGTACCTGTGAGTGTGTGCGAGGACATCGCCAAGATAGAATGCTTTGAATACAATGGATGCTATTTCCGAGAACTCATGACCCTATGACAAGAGTTCGGGTATCTCGGGAGGATACTACCTAGGGAGAGTTGAATATACAACTAGAATAGCCAAACGAACGCTTTTTTCACCTTCGCCTTCCATCCCAGTGGTCCTCGTTTGCCTTCGTCCACGATGTATACATCGGTCTCTAGATCCATCTCTGCCAAGCTTACAACTTTGGTCCTTTTTAACAGCTTCCAACCTAAGTACATGACCAACATGACCGGCAATTCAATGTAGAAGCTGACGAAACTCACCCCGTCAAAAGTAGGGCTAAAGCAGCTCCAACCTTGAACAAGTACGAGGACGCAGTTGAGGATTACGCATAGGTACGGCCCCACGGGGTATGTCCAATTGCGGAAGGGAAGCAGATGAGTCTTGCCTTGGCGCTCTAAGGCTGAGCGGAAGCGGATTGATGTGATGCCAATAGCAATCCAGCTAAGCTGGTTAGACACGCCGACGATACTAAATGCCGTTAGGTTAGAGATGCCACCGTCCAAGTTAATATTGACAGTAACTCACTTTTGGAGCCAATTCCACAGCTGACCTGCCCCGATGAAGCTTGATCCAAAACAGAGACCGCTAATGAAGCCCGTCGTGAGAACAGCTACCCAGGGAACTCTGTTTCGGTTCAGTCTACCAAAAAAGACAGGGGCATGCCCTTCCATCGCGAGCGTATACAGCAATCTTGCTCCAGCGAAAAGCGCATGATTGCCGGCTGAGAGAACGCTGGTCAAGATAACTGCATTGATAACACTGCCCGCTGCATGTGCACCAGTCATCTGAAAGACAATCGTGAACGGGGAAGTGCGCGTTTCTTTGGAGTTGAGATCCGGATAGGTATACGGGATATCGAGACCTATCAAAAGGACAGAGAGGATGCTTGTTCGTCTAAGCATATATAGATTGAACACGCTGAGATATCTTGCACTTACTAGAAGAGTAGTATGCGCCAAAATACGTTTTTGACTACCCGGGGGAGGTTCTTGGTCGGGTTCTTCGTCTCGCCAGCCGTGATAGCAATCGATTCCGTGCCACCGTCTAAATATTGCTATCAATGCCATAGTCATTTATTGCTTCATGCGGTGACATTTCACACTCACAAGCAAATGATGCGGTTACAAAAACGGATGCAAAGCCGCCAATACCACCAACAAAAGGCGCCCCCGGCAGTCGCCAGTTTTCTCCTCCGATGTAATGACCATCGGCGTTCCCTCCAGCATTGACCACTATTCCCATGATGATGAAGACCTAGTGAAGGCAACTTGATCAGCTTAACGTTTAGCTATATCTGAGGCCATCGCTAGACTTACGATGATTGTAATGACTTTCAGAAGGCTAAGCCAGTATTCGACCTGAAGAGACAGATATGAGCCCGATTATTCTAAGTTGGGGCGTATAGTGGAAAGCCAAATCTTACTTCGCCATACGCGCCGACAGTTATGATGTTGATTGCAATTAAAATAACCCAAAAGATAAGACTGAGCGCCCATCCTGGGAAGTTGTTTGTCCAGTAATCCAAGACGAGCTGCAGAGCTACTAAATCTGAAGCTGTCGACACGGCATCGTTGAACCAATAGTTCCATGTAAGTGCGAAACCAAATGCATCATCGACGAAGCGTCTAGAAACAAAAAGTCAATGATGATTCAGGAGAGCTTTAAGCATCTTCACCAACCCTGCAAACGTGCAGAAGCTACCTGCCACGGGAATGAAAGCCGCCATTTCCCCCAAGCTCAACATGGTAACGAAGACAATCGCTCCCACAATCAGGTACGCGATCAATATGGAGGCTGGACCGCCGGTGGCAAGAGATTTGCCCGTTCCCAGAAAGAGACCTGTCGCGATCAGCGAGTCTGCTCTCAAGGCTTATATTACAACTGGTCTATAGCTACCGGTTCCAATCGTTCCGCCAATAGCAATCATCTGGACCTGACGAGCTGAAAGAGCTCTCTTTAGGCGGTCTGACTGCACAAGGTGAGGTCGCCCAACATCGTTGGCATTGAAGGCTTGGTCGTCACCATCCCCGTAAGTTTTTCCTGCCTCCGCATGATCCAAAGGTGATTCACGGTTACCAGACATCCTCTCTTAGTACACATGCGTGATAGAACGCTGGGAGCCCTAGATCGAGTTGGTATAAGTCGCTTCTAAGCCAAGAGCCATGACAGCCTAAAACGTGGAGACGCCTCAGAAGCTATGTTTTAAGCATCTTTACTAACATCACCTTTGTACTCGTAGGCGCAGGCCCTGACATCATGCAGCCTCGCACCGTTTGCTAGGTTTCGATTGCGTGCTCGACTAAGACAATCCATTAGGCAAGAGATTCTGGGTTTGTAGCGTGATGCTCACCGTACAGAGGCTTACGGGTGGGGCTCTGACTCGGTAACGCCGCCGCTAAAGACGCCTGTGGGGGAAACGGGATCAGTAAAAGCAAGTCATGTAACCATCGAATGTAAGCAATGGAACAACAGGCCGCTCAATGGCCGGCTACTGACGGCCAGCACAGCGCGATAAATAATATGGGTAAAGTAATAAATTGCTAATTCAACTGACTGTCAAAGGAGCTGATTGAAATTCTAGCCCAAAGATCTTCACGCGGGATGTCAGGCGAAATGCTTCGTCTCAGGTGGCGCCTGGTAAGCTCAGAGGCATGTTATGCGCCATAGTATATTGCGCCTTTTTTTCGTGCCAGGAACAGCAAATGGATGCAAGTGGCCTGGCTTATGCTTCAATGGTACGATTGCGTGTCGAGCAGGGTATTCGCGTCAAAAAGTGTAATTTGCCCAAGTTGTAGCAGTTGATGAGAATTAGGTCCTGGGTGACCTTGATGTAATCCGATTTCATATGATCCACAATCTTATCCTTCTCAGATTAGATCCAGCGAAAATGGTTTGAGCTATCATGAGTACAATGAGTCGAAGTAATTGTGAGATTCGCACCAAAGAATCAACCTCGTATAATGCCTAATAGATTAGCTATATGTTTGTGCACGATGACAACACCAGTTACTCCTAAAATCAATTCATTGCCAATGTCAGATACGACCAGACCTGAAGATTTGTCAGTGTGATAGCCGTTCATATTATGTTCCGCTGTCTTGCTGTGCAGCTATGAGGGTAGACTAACGGTAAACGGCATGAGGCTCTTAGCTAGTAGCATGTCTAATAGAGTGCTGACAATACGTAGGACCGCAGATCTCGAAACGTAACTCGTCCACGACGAATTTGACCGTTGTACATCTTAATCTGACATATCGTGGACCTAGATATTCGAAAATTAAGTATATTCGTCAATTACTGAACTCATTGAATCGCGCCAAAGTCTTTGTGGCACCATGTCCCACAGGCAAGATCGCAAAGTCTTTGCGCATTACTTGGTGAGCTCGGGACTCCTTTGCAACAGGCCAGTTGCCGATGAGCCTGACGTTTCTGCAGATCGGCCTGACATTTGGTCAATCTAAGGCTCAATGGGAAGCAGATATTCTTGCAGCTCGACATGCGGGAATTGATGGCTTTGCAATGAACATTGGGCCACACGACTCGTGGACAGAAGCTCAACTTCGGTTGGCGTACAAGACCGCAAATGATGTGACCCCGGGCGAGTTTGTTATGTTTCTCTCATTCGACATGGCTGCAGGAGATTGGAAAGTATTACAAGTCATCGACCTCATCAATGAGTTTAAGGTTCTCCCGGCGCAATGTGAGGTTGACACGCTACCATTCGTATCCACATTTGAAGGACCTCAGTGGGCTGAAAATTGGAATTCTGTGAGACTGAGGACCGGGGGAATATTTCTGGTGCCCAGCTGGACCTCGATTGGACCACACGGAGTATTTGACAGGTTGGGAGTCGTGGACGGCGCTTGTAGGTTTTTTTGACCATCCATGGATCTTCAATCTGCTGAGCTGGTTAGTCTCTTGGTGTGCTTGGCCACGCGCGAATGAAAATCGAATGACGACCGACGAAGACGTCTTGTATAAACAATACCTGCTTGGTAAGAAGTACATGATGGGTGTCAGTCCCTGGTTCTATACGCGTAATTCACCTTCCTCGGATGGCTGAAAGAAACAAGCTGAGAAGAATCAGGACTGCAGAAGTGGAATAAGAACTGGTACTCCTCAAGCGAGTCTCTGTGGTACGACCGCTGGATGCAAGTTCTTGAGGTGCTCCCCGATTTTGTTCAAATCATTAGTTGTAAGATATTCACCTCATTTCCTGCCATTCTGAGTTGTCAAATATTCTAGCAGCTAAAATGTTGCTTGGCAACTAGGGAACGACTATGGAGAATCGCATTATATCGGCGATGTGACGAAACCCCAGATTGTACCTGGTGCCGAGGATTATGTTGTCGATTTTCCACATTCTGCTTTTCGGGCATGTTTGCCATATTTCATTGCTGCTTTCAAGGGTGAAATGCCTCCTCTGAAGGATTGCGCGATCGCGTGGTACAGACCAACCTATGTTGGGAGTGGTCACGACGGTGGTGCGAAGTGCCCTTTAATCAGACAAGGGAAACATGCTAATGTATTGTAGACACGGTCTGGGGGCAAGGGGGGACACAGTCTGCTCGTATCGCTGCACAGGACGTGATCTCGGTTTTGACAATCACAAACGAGCCCACGAGTGTTAAAGTGGACATTGGGGGGTCTTCACAGGCCTTCAGTGTTGGGACTCAAGGAACTGTTACATTTGTACAGGTGCCCTTAGACGGTAGACTCGGGCCAGTCACGCTCAGGATGCATGGCAGGGTGACGAATGGGCCTGCAATTTCAAATATTGTGGCTCCTACGGGCTTTGTACGTTCTCTGGTTGTTTTAAAGAGGCTGGCAACTGATGATATAACCAGGTGAACTTCAACTGTGTCGCAATCGAAGTCTGAGCCAAATCGGTTTATTTAATCTGGGCGCGGTGTGCGAGGAGGCCAGGGCAATGACGGGCGAATTCCTTCGTGTAGAAACTTACTATGTGACTACAAACAACGATGAAGGTGACAACTACCTACTGAGCCATGCCAATGACAGTCTCCTTTCTCGTTCGTGTCGACACAAAGTAGCCTTTAAGGGACAGCATGGTGCCCATGATATACTAATTACACACACAAGAAGGGTAAATTATTTTGCATTACCATTACTACCATATACACATTTCATCAGTTCCTGAATAGTGCAATGCTGTCGGAGAATCCGGCAACATTGTTCGAGTAATCCGCTACATCTACTCCATTCACTGTGATCATCTTCGTCGTGCCCACCGTGTTCAGGTTGTACACTGAGACGGCGCTGTTCTCCACGCTGAAAATGCGAGATTGGCAGTACTCAGTCGGGCCATCAGAGCACTTGGTGCTGTAATTGTTGAAGAAACTGTACAATCCTGCACCATATACAAAGATGTTGCTGCTATCCTTGACACGCAGACCCCAACCGCTTTGACCAGAGGAGAAGACAGGATCGCTGTATGCTGTCAGGGCCGGGAAGGGGATGGTCGCGTCGGGGTTAGGCTGGTAGTATGCTGTCTCGGTCTGGATCTGACCCGTGACAATGTTCTTTGTGCTCGAGAATTGGTACTCGTACAGGACATGATGCTCAACGGCAGTACCATACATCCAGATGTTGCCGAGAGTGCTCTCAACAAGAAGACCACGTCCGGCATAGATGGTGACCCGGGTCAGGGCCGGATCCTCGATGTCATGGTCAGCAACCCACAACCACACGTTCTCCATGTACAGACCACTGGCGGACTTGGTGATATGCATGCTCATGAAAGCCGCAATGCACTGCTTCTTCAGGCTGGTAGCGGTGACTGTGGCGTTCGTCCATTGGCAATCAGCGACCTGGAGGTTTGAGCCCTTGAAACCACCGATACGAGTGTGAACGTCCCACATGCCCGAAGGAGTGCCTGGTGATGACAGGTTCCATTCAATCAGAATTGCACCAGCCTGGGCTCCCTGTGTGCTGACAATCATATCCGACCACTCAACCACACCGACAGATCCTGCAGTGCCAACCTGGACGACTGGCTTGGGGTTGCTTATATCGGAGAAATACGTGCCCGCAGAAAGAATGACCGGGTACGACTCTCCAACGATCTTCGAGCCGGCAGGAATGGTGATCGTGCTCTCGACCCTGTACACACCGAAGTCAAAGAACACAATCTTGCCAGCAGCAGCAGCATCTGCTAGTGCCTTGTTGATCGCAGCAGCGTCGTCCTTCACGCCATTGCCTACTGCACCGCTAGACTTGATGCTAACGAACTGCGAGACAGGGATCTTCTCGTATTGGGGTTTGGATCGCTCGTAGTAGGCCGAGCCGGCAGTAAGGCCACTAGGACGACTGTTGGCAGTAAAGGTCCCACCGACGGGCTTGGGCCCGCTTGTTGCTGTGTACGAGTTGCCCTTACCCCAGGCCGCGATAGTCGACTTGCCCGTCGATCCAGCCAATACGGTGGCTTTGTTGGGTCCTTGGATGGCGACAGGAACATTGTTGAGGGCGACATTCTCGAGAATCAGGCCGTTCGCGGCAGCGGGTGCCGATGTCGTGGAGCTGCCATAGACCACACCGATGGGTGTGTTGTTAATCTCGCTGTCAATGAAGACGACGGATGCAACCTTGAGCTCTCCGCCGTCGACATTGGTGATATCAAGGCCAACCTGGCAATCGTTGATGCTGATGCCTTGATAAGTCCAACCCCAATCCCACAGTTGCTGGATAGCGGTAACGGAGTTGTGGAAGGTCAGGTTTCGCATTGTGAATTGTCTGTAGCGCTGTTAGCCTGACAATGCCAAGAATTAGAATGATACATGTGTGAGCGTACTGGTTGCCAACGCTGAGACCCTGGGCACCACCATAGAATACTAGATCGCTCACCCAGCCACCAGAGCCCTCCTCAATGAAAAGACCCTGGTGCTGGTTGCCGCTTGCGGTCGACATCTTGAAGACAATGTTCTGGAGCGAGGTCGCTTGGCCAGTGGGCCAGTGAATACCGGCGACCAGAACCGAGGGGCTGACAGCGGTAAGATCAATGACAAAGTTACGGACTTGACGCCAGAAGACGTTCGTGGCTCCCCAACCGAGCTTGCCATCGGTTTGATACTAGAGACATGTCAACCATAGTGTATCATGCTGTCAATGGGACATCCGGGCTTACCTGATCACCATCGAGGAAGAAACGAGAGTTGAAGCTTGCGCTAGCCTTGAGAACAGGCATGCAACCAGGATTGCCAACCAACATGGTGTAGTAATAGTCGATGATTGGCTGAGACACGATGTATGTGCCAGGAGGAAAGTAGATCAGGGCGGGTGTCGTAGTGGTTGAGCCGCATGAGTGATTCTCAGGACCACACCTGCCCGCAGAGCTAATGGCCGAGTTGATAGCAGCCGTGTCGTCCGTCTTGCCGTCTCCCTTCGCGCCATAGTCCATGACGTTTCTGAAGACCTTGTAGCCGCTGGCTGCATACGGGGCGGCGCCTTGGTGGGTAATCTTGTTCAGCCAGTAATCTGTGCATGTTGGAGCGCTAATACTTGACGTAGATGAACTTGACGTTCGGGTTGACGACGTAGAGAAGCTGCTGCTGCTGCTAGCCTTAGATGTGGTACTGGACCAAGAGCTACTTGATGAGCTTGAGACTCGAGATGAGCTCGAGCTGCTCGTCGATGAGGCAATGCTTGATGAGCTAGATACTCGAGACGAACTGAGACTGCTCGTCGATGGAGCGATACTTGATGAGCTGGAGACTTGCGACGAGCTTGAACTGCTCGATGGCGAGGCGCTCGACGTTGAGGAAACGCCATAAGAAGACGACGACAGGCTGCTCGAGGTGCTCGCGACACTGGACGAGCTTGAAGTCCTGCTCGAGGAGCTTAGGACGCTTGAGGAACTTGAATGGCTGCTCGAAGCGCTCAGGATACTTGATGAGCTTGAGAGGCTGCTTGACGATGATAGAGATGCCGAAGACAGCGAGCTGGAGCTAGAGCTGGACTTGGAGCTGCTCGATGCGAGGCTGGATGAAGATGAGGAAGACGAAAGCACCGCCGATGATGAGGAGGACGGCGAGGCGGTACTTGATAGGTGGCTCGAGCTCGATGGGAGACTTGAGGTCGAGCTTACTTGAGAGCTTGTCTTAGAGCTGTCCAGAGAGCTCGTGGAGTACACGGAGCTGGTGGAAGACTTCAGGCTTGAAGAGGGGGCGCTGCTTGAGGACGACAGCTGGCTTGACGAGCTGGAAACAACTGATGTTTCGCTGGACGACTGAGAGACAGTGGTTTCTGTGCAGGTTTCCGAAGCACTGCTGGTGACCGGATTAGACTGACTCGTCGACACAGCACTACTTGACACAACTCCGCTGGACGACAGCTGCGACTCCGAGGACGACACAGAGACAGAATACAGACTGCTCGTAGGAGCACTGCTGTGAGAGTAAAGGCTGCTGACACTAGACTCTGATGATGATGATGACGACAACGGCTGGGAGCTCACACTTCCGCTGGGACTTCCGCTGAGGCTGCCGGTGCTCGAGCTGATGGGGAGGTTTGACCCGGACTCAGACTCGGAGGCCGAGGTCGTAGTGACGGGCGAGGTAGAGCCTGTCTCGAAGACACTGGAGCATGGCGGAGGAGGCGTCGGGCAGGTGGTGATGGTGCTATGGATTAACACCGTCACCACCCGGCGGGAGCTGGTGGTGGGGACATCGTGGGCGATGCCGGCGGACAAGAGAGAGGAAATAGTAAAGAACGACAGAAAAGAGTGGCTACGCATCTTGGACGTGAAACGAGTGACGACGATGCGACAATGAGGGGACGAAGGCGAGCACGAGAGAGAATCTCCTCCTTACCTTTCAAAAAAGAAAGCGCCAGCCCGCGCATCGTGAGATGACGGGACGCCAGGCCATATATGAGATGAGACGAGATGACAGCCATGACCATTTGATGCACCAACAGTAAGCACGAACGCACGTCCGCTCCACGCATACACCACAGAAAAAGAAGAGCCAGCCCCATCTCCACGACAGCCCAGAACCAGACCAGGCCAACCCTGCCTGGTAGATGTGGATGTGGATGTGGATGTGGGTGCTGGGGTGAGAGAGGAGAGGTGGATGCGGATGCATTTACACTTGTGTACATCCAGCGATCCATTCATGATCCCTCCATCCATCCATCCTGGGCGATCCATACAGACATGGTGTGTGCTAACCCGGCTTGGGCTCGCTGGGGACCATGATGCAGGATCGCACAGACACGGACATGGAAGTGTGAGAGTGTGCGCGAGAGAGATACAGTACCATGGACTGACTGATGGAGTCGTGACTCTTCCTCCTCCTGAAGTCTTTGCTCTTGGATGACGGCGCTTGCTCTGCACACCAACGCTTGAGCCCCTCTTCTGCCTGTTTACTACACCCTTCTCAGCAATATGTAATATCTCTTGGACGCGCGACGCCAGACGGGCCACTCTTAGGACTGACGATAGTTTGGAGATTTGCAGCGCCGTTCCCCTGCAGCAGCAAGCCCAGCCAGCATCAGGGGCCCAGGTTCTCTCAGTCTCTGGGCGCCGGCCGTACTAAAAAAGACACGGCGTGCAGATTCGGGGGCAGCCGCATGGCCGTTCAGCCGAGCCTAATGGCCTCGTCGGGCGACGGCTAAGCTTCTTTCGGCGCTTGGACGGGGGTTTGGAAATTGGTGGCGCAGTCCCCCGGCCAAATAGCTTCAGGGGGGAGATTGACACTCGAACTTGGATCGGACTGACCTGCAGACTCTGGAGTTTATTGCTGTGTGAGATATGTCATGATCTCATCTGGGAAGTATCCTGCGCCCATGGGTAAACAATTCTCTTCATGTGTGTACATGATTGAAGTATGGTAAGCGGCGTAGCGAATATTGTATTTACCCATGCTGTAGAGTATAATACAGTAAGTTCTGTATAAGTTCGCGTTATTCCATCAGCCATTGACAACTTTTGCTTCCCTCTAACATGCCGTTAAAAAAAGGACTCAAAACATCGTAGGTACTTAAGCGACTCTATCGTGTAATAATGAGAAGGGGACCATGTATCCGATGCCATACCGCCCAACCAAGGGACTTTCCAAAGAGGATTGAAGCTCTTCAGTCAATTCGGTTTCGCGGCTCGCTCAGTCTGCCCTCCCCCTGCTTGCTCTAGGCAGCCAGCCCGCCTAGGACCATTTTGTATGCTTTCGCCGCATGCAAGTGTACGGCGCATGTATTAGACTCCTCTCCTGGATAACGTTAATGCCTCCTCGCCAGGGGTGCAACTCTACGGCGGCAGAATCGGCTTGATTCCGGGGAGGGGCGCGCTGCGCTGACACTAAGAGACTTAAGGTTCTTTTTCTTCAGATTCAGTTGGAGCCGCAGGTGGCTCTGTTGCTGCTGCACTGGCCGTGACGTGTCTTGAGCGCTGCTCCAGAACTGTGCGGGAGATCGACAATCGATTTACTTGTTGCGAAAAGAGTCCTCACCCAGGGCTACATCTGGGGTTTGTTGTTCCGCATTGTGACCGTGATCATTGCTTGCTCCCGGACTATCTACATCGCCCAATGATACCCCTTCTAGAAGAAGTTGACGTTGCTGACAAGGGAAAGAAGAGGAGGGGCTGCCTGGCCTTCACGATGTTGCGTACCAGGCACCCAAATGCTGGATGCTCGGGAGCAATTTCCTGGCGAGGTTTTCATTGGCTTAGTCCTCTCGCAACGAGCCAACAGACATCGTATTGAGCCGCCCTGAATGCTGACGAGGGACACGAATATTGATGAAGAGTGAATTACGGTTAACCAATCGACCCCTGAATGGCCGACATGTTTTGGGCTATCACGGTATTGTTTTTCTTTTCTCACGGCGGTTCAGCCACCTGTCTGATCCTGTGTCCACGGCTGAATGTTGAATTTCCACGGCGAAGAACATTGACCGGGCTTTTCCACATCCATGCTGTGTATTGTCCGACGGCCAACCGGCTTCAAGCAAATTTCTCCGTCCTAGCCATCAAATAATGTGCTACTAATTTTGGGGCAGAATGACATTTGACAGGTCTCCAGTGGGGACCTGGTCTGATGACCGATTACTTACACTTGCAAGAACAGGACAGTCGTTCGTCTTCTAGACTCGAAGCCCTTGTGAGAGACAGAATATCCACTACGAGCATTCATCCGATTCGCTCCTGCGTACCTGCCAGACGTGGAATTTCTTTGAGCTTGTTGTTGGTGACAGTTCCTGCCAGACCCGAGGTCCTCTAGAACTGCCAATACCACTACCAAGCGTGGAGGATTCTCGTGAGAGCGTAGGTATCTACACGAGGCTCATCTTTGCTAAGAGCGCTTCAGCGATATCTCTTGCGAATCCCGCGTCGTTGACATCTCTCGGATCATCGATGACTTCAATGCCCGTCCTCTCTAGGCCTGCCCTCACGGCGGAGAAAAGCGCCTCATCGGCCTCAGGGTCTGCAAAAGGGGCTCCTGGAGTCGAAATCATACTCACACCGCCCCTCGGTATCCACACCTGTACTAATTCGTGCCTTTTCGCAAATCGCTTGAGCTTCGTACTAATGAACTGGCCGACATGTCGGCATTCTTCTTCCGACGACCGCATGAGTGTGACCACCGGATTGTGTTCGTACAGCAGCCTATCTTTGTATTTCTCTGGGACGGTATTTCTTGGACCAAAGTTGGTCATGTCTGTTGCTCCCAATGAGACGAGATAAGGGACTCCGGCCTCCGCTGCAGCGTTGAGCCTGTCTGGACCGGCACTCATATTGCCCCCATTCAACAAGTCACATATCTCTGTTGTCGTGAGATCTAAGACAGCGTCCAGTGCCCCCTCGCGAACCAGTCTCTCCATAGACTTGCCGCCGTGGCCGGTAGCGTGGAAGACATACGTCTCAATACCACCCTTTGTATCTAGATGCTTTCTGATCGCATCCACACCTGGCGTCGTAACGCCGAACATGGTGATACCTATACGCTTCTTCGGGGAGCCGACGCTCGAAGCTGGCGCCTGCCTGGTCCTATTTGCGAATGAGGCCGCTGCAGCGGCGATGAACGCACCGGCATTGCTCAGAATGTCTCGAAGCACCTGGTTCAATCCAGCCACATCGACGACCGAATAGAGCATGGCAATGTCAGTCTCTCCAACAATCGGCCCGGTGTCGCCGCTGGCGATGGTCGAGACGATCAACTTGGGAAAGCCTATAGGGAGAACGTCCCTCATGACTGGTGCTGCAAGTGATGTGCCTCCTGATCCGCCAGCCGTGACAATACCATGGATCTCCCCTGCGTCATAGAGTTCCTTGATAGCTTTAGACGCGCAGTCGGACATAAATCTGATGAGCTGTCCCCTGGGGAGATCTGATGGAGATTTGCCATTGCCATATCGCCGGACCAATTCTGTGCGCGTGACTGTTATATGCTCGCTGTCCGTCTCTCCTCGGCCGACGTCCATCAACAAAACCTTCACCTGCGGGTTTTCAAGGATTCGTTCCCGCAGGAATACCAGCTCTTCCAACTTTGTGTCGCAAGTCCCCAACACTACCACTGTCGCCGTCGACATTGTACCGTAGGTTGCGCTAAAAGTATGTTACTGTTATAGGCCGGCCACAGCCATGGGCGCCGGACTAGGAGATGATAGACCAGGTTTTGGACACAAGGAATATCTGCCACAGTTGAATGACCGGAAGAAATTGATCATCCTGGCCGGCCTTGGCTTTTGTTCACTGTTGTGAAGATAATTACCCCATGAGATGGGTCCTAGTTGTGGGCAATGATGCGGGGGAGCTTCCTGGCGTAACAGCACATGCATGTGCAGCTGACGTCAATTGTGAGACCCTAGGTATTGTTGACATGAGCTCGTTCCATGGTCGGGTCCATATCTAGGTAATATATGGCCTTGTATGCTGTAAGCTTGTAACTTCTCATTGAATAGTAACTCTACTCAATTAAGCTGAACTGCCTCGTTTCCCACGTTCTACAATCAGCTATTCTACGACTGTCCTCTGGTCTGACGGTAGACTCGCAATGCCGCCTCCAACAGATCGGCAGGAGATCCTGCAGAATCTCCGGTTACAAGTCAGCCAGGGCAACCCGATTGTGGGCGCCGGAGCCGGCATTGGACTTTCGGCAAAGTTCATCGAGGCCGGCGGAGGCGACTTGATCATCATCTATAATAGCGGCCGCTTCCGCATGGCAGGCAGGGGGTCGTTGGCGGGACTGATGCCGTATGGGAATGCAAACGACGTTGTCTTAGAAATGGTGAGACCACCTTCATGTGGCTGATATGCTCCGTTCATCTTTCCGGTATCTTCTAACCCCGGATCTTGCGCAGGCCGGCGAAGTGCTGCCGGTGGTGAAACACACGCCCGTCTTAGCCGGAGTCTGCTCCACGGACCCCTTTCGGTCCATACCGGCTTTCCTCAAACAGCTGAAAGACATGGGGTTCGCAGGCGTGCAGAACTTCCCCACCGTTGGGCTTATTGACGGACAGTTCCGAGCAAACCTGGAGGAAACAGGCATGTCGTATGACGCCGAGGTGGAGATGATCCGCCAGGCGCGGTCTCTGGACATGCTCACCACGCCGTACGTCTTCAATGTAGAGGAGAGCAAGAACATGGCCGCCGCCGGCGCAGACATCCTGGTGGCACACATGGGTCTCACGACGAGCGGCTCAATCGGAGCCACCACCGGCAAGAGCTTGGACGAGAGTGTCGCGCTGATACAGAATATCCGAGACGCCGCTGCTGAAATCAGCCCAGACATTATTGTCCTCTGCCACGGTGGACCGATTGCAACCCCCGAGGATGCAGAGTACGTACTGGCTAGAACGAAGGGTGTGCACGGTTTCTATGGCGCGAGCTCTATGGAGAGGTTACCCGTGGAGGAAGCCATCACGAACATCACAAAGACTTTCAAGGGTATCAGGCCTGGGACTTAGACCGTGAGCTACAAAGATTATAGCTTAAATGGTGATATCATTAAATACTTCATGTCTTCCCTTGAGAGAGTGTTCTTTAGATTGCAGTCTATTCTATTTATCGTGTAGATTCTTCGATGTCATTTAACATACCAAGCATACAACATCTCCCGGCCACGACTCGCTATTACATGCTCCCAAATCGAGTTATACCGTGCTTCAACAGAGGCGATGGCAGTTTCGGTTCTCAATTCTTCTTGATTTCGGCTTGGAATTTCCTAGCCCAGTCCGTGAATGTGTCCTTCTCTCCCTCCCACGGCTTAGTGAACAGCTCCGAAAGGGCGAATGCGTCAAAAAAGCACAGGTCCATCAAGCGATCAATATCTGCCGTGCTGAGCTCGTAGAATGCCATAGCCAAACTGTTGAAGCGGTCAGGGATGCGCCTAAGAAGTGGCGCCATCTCATCCAGGCGGGAGACAATAGTGGAATCAGACCCGTCTGGTATAGGTAGTTTGGGGAGAATTTTGAGTCGTCTCTTGATTATGGCCTGGTATAGAAGATTGGTGAGTCGGAGCCGCTTCAACGTTGAATCTAGGCGTTCCCTTATTTTGTCGGGATCGTCGCGGGGGATAGCAGAGTGAAAATCCATCAAGTCGTCGACCATGGCTTGCGTTGCGGCAATGTGGGTATTCGCCATCTGATCAGCAAGATCACTCGTGGCACTCGTCCCGTTACCATTAGCCGGTCCACCGACGCCCTCGTCATCATCGTCGTCGTCGTCCTCATCTTCATCATCGTCGGGCGACTCTTCAGCCCACTCTTTCAGCTCTTCCATCACATCCTTCAATGTCTCTTCGAACTGCTGGGCCTTCTTTACTAGATGGCCGACGACACCCATATTGGCAAAGGCGATGAGCTCATCACAGACACCCCAGAGCAGACCAGTGGTGGTGATGCTGCCCCTCTCCATTGCCGCGTGGTTCATGCCGCTGCGCTTCTCAGGCGGGAGGACCTTGCCGTCCTTGGGGATCTTCTCGATTAGGTCCTTCAGCTCTTTGAGCACGCGGGAGCAGCGCCAGGCCATGTCGCGTCGAACGACTTGTGTATGGAGATCGGCATGGCAGAGCTGAACGGCAGAGCCAAGCGCGGGGATGGGGCCCTGTACGAGATCGCGCAACGTCTTCGAGATGACGGCCGGGGTAAAGGGTTCGTTGATGATGAAGAGGGATATCTTGGTGGCGTGGGCTTTGACGAGGGAGGCCGAGTCGCGAGCCAGGGCGAAGACGTCGATCTTGTTTTCTCTGTCGGCCGGGGTAGAAGCGAGGGCGTCCGGTTTGTCCTCGTGGATGGTAGTCCTACCGACGCCGCCGCCGTTGGCATCGATGACATCGCGGAGGGCATCTTCTAGGTTTCGGATCAGGCTGACGCTTGTGTCGATGACCGAGTTCAGCGCCTCAATGTCCTTGCCAGACGGCGTCGAGGAGGCCGGGGCCATGTTTCGGTCAAGGCAGTGCCGGATCAACGGAGACAAGACTTCGTTAGCAAGCAGTCTTCTGGTACCATGGGCCCCGGTGCCCTGATCTAGTTCGTGAAACTGGTCTCCGTGTTCCTTTGACCTTTCTGTTTGGTGAGAGCACTGATGGTTCAATGGTATTCATAGAGTAGCCATTCATCATGGTGGGGCACTGTTCCTGGAAATATTTTATATTGCTTTCTGTCGCGGGGTCGTTGCAGTGGCGGTGGCCTTGTTGGCCGGCCGGCAGGCAAAGCTGGTCCCCACCAGCCACTACAGCCAGTAGCCCCAAAACCGATCTGGACAGCTTGCTTCGCCTTAGTGCAATTATTGCTGGTAGCTGTCAGAAGCAGCAAGCTCGAGCACTTTGAACCTCCGGTTAAGGGATTGTTTTGTATGATTGATTGATTGATTCATCACCATCATCGCTATATTTCCTTTCTTGCCTTCCATCTCCTCATAGACTCCCCTGTCCAGCTTGATGACGCCAGACACGAGGTCATAACAAACCAAACAATGCGACAGACAAGTGCACTGGTGCTCTTGAGCACCATCCAAGGTGCCGTTGTTGCTGCCAGCTTGCCCCGGGGCGTTGGCCCAGAGTGTAAGTCAACTTGATTCGATACAAGCCAAGTTGCCGTCGATTATCATGCCAATTGGATGGAAAATGAATAAGCCTTGGACTTCCACTGGGGAACAAATGCTATTCATGTTCTCTGGACCCTTTCTAATGGAGAAGCTGACACTCAAAACCCCTAGTTGCCAAGTTCTACACAGCAAAGGACACCTTCACCTGCATCGGGCATCCATCCATATCCCTTTCCTCCTCACAGATCAACGACAACAGCTGCGACTGCCCCGATGGCTCAGATGAGCCTGGCACGGCTGCTTGCTCCTACCTCGACCCCCTCTCTCCTCCACAGCCGCTCCCGGCCTCCCTGACGGGCACAACCAACACCAGCAACGTTCTCCCCGGCTTCTGGTGTGCCAACGAGGGCCACATAGGCGCCTATGTTCCCTTCGCCTTTGTCAATGACGGCATTTGCGACTACGAGCTGTGCTGTGACGGCAGCGAGGAGTTTGGCAAGGTCGGCGGCGTCAAGTGCGAGAATCGCTGCGGGCCCATTGGAAAGGAATGGCGCCGCGTGGAGGAGGAGCGGACCAAGAGCAAAGAGCGCGCCGCCAAACGGAGACGCACCCTGGCCAAAGAGGCCAAGGAGCTTCGCCGCAGGGTCGAGGCTAAGATCACAACGCTCACAGAGGAGATCAAGACCCTCGAGGTGAAGCGGGATGACCTGCAGAAAAAGTATGAGGAGGTAGAGAGAGCCGAGCGAGGCAAGGTCGTCAAAGGCGAGGGCCAAGGTGGCAAGCTCGGTGTGTTGCTGGGCTTGGCTAAGACCCGAGTCAAGGAGCTGCGCGACACCCTGGACAGGGTCCTCGACCAACGGGATGATCTTCAGGATAAGGTCGAGGAGTTGGAGGCCATCCTCCGCAAGTTTAAGGAGGAGTACAATCCAAACTTTAACGACGAGGGTGTCAAGGCTGCGGTCAAGGCGTGGGAGGACTATGCCGCGAAGACAGCTTCGGAGACGCAGGTCGATGCAGCAGACGCGGATATTCTCGAGATCATCAAAGAAGACGGTGAGAGCTCAGGCATCAACTGGAAGGAATTCGAGGACGAAGAAGTCTCGGATACCGATATATGTAAGTCCATTTCCCCACCATATGGCCCTCCTTTTGCAGCTTCGCTGACAGCGTTTCAGTGTATAATCTCGAGGCTTATCTTCCTTCATTCCTTCGAGAGTACATCCATGGCAAGCTCACGCTGGCTCGGGTATGGCTGATTGAGAACGGAATTCTCGCTGACAACCCAGCCGGTGGTGCCGAATCGCGACTTGTTACTGCTGCCCGCGAGGCCCACCAGGCTGTGGTCAACGAGGTTACGTCCAAGCAGCGCACCCTGACCGAGCAGCAGAGTGACCTCGAGAAGGACTACGGAGCGGACGATATTTTCAGAGCTCTCAAGGGCAAGTGTGTCTCTACGGACAGCGGCGAGTACGAGTATGAGCTCTGCTGGCTGGACAAGACTAGCCAGAAGTCCAAGAAAGGCCATGGCAATACGAATATGGGCAACTTTGTGCGCATGGATACAGAGATGGCCGATGATGAAGAGCGTCAAGATGGCAAGGGCCTCGGCAAAGGCCCTCGGCTTGTGTTGCATTATGAGAATGGTCAGGGCTGCTGGAACGGGCCTAACCGACGGACGGATGTATGGCTCGGCTGCGCTGAGACAGAAGAACTATGGAGGGTCGTCGAGGCAGAGAAGTGTGTGTACAAGATGGAGGTTGGCACACCAGCAGCTTGCGAGGACGTTCATGAGCCTGGTGTGAGGACAAAGGACGAGCTGTAAGTGGGCTGTTGACCACTTGAAAGCCTTGGAATTTGGGCTGTAAGGCATGATTTGCAGACCATTGCAAGGCACCTTCTACAGACATTCAGAGGATTGTAATTCAGCAGGCGTTTAGAGAGATTTGAAAAGATGTAAGCCAATGTAAAGTTCAAGACAGCCCGAATGCCACAGCTACTATGTTAGGTACCTGGACTGCACGAAAAATACTTCCTTTTCACTAGTCACGCATTCATGGTTGTGACAGAATGGTATCTCATTTGGTGTGGCTACAAGTACAAATCGCTAGATGGAACCAAGGGCAAGCGTGTTGTCTTTGGAGCACCAGCATCATCTTGCCGCGGCGAGTTTCCTCCGTTTATTTCGCTCTTCTTGTTCAGCCAGCACCCTCGCCGTTAGGGAAGCCGTCATTGGGTTATTGATGCCACTGACACGACTGGCAACATCCTGCTTATTGCTCTTGCTGGTCTTAGAGGCGTGGGTTTCGCCCTTGTCCTCAACGCCGTCACCTTGGACATTGCCGTTCTCTTTGTCGCCGGCTTTCCTCTTCTTCTTGCCAGCGCCCTTTTCCTTTTTGAGGCTGTGTGTGAGGCCACTGTCCCTGAGGGCGTCTATCCTCTCCTTTAACCTGTCTACCTCTGCCTTCTCTGTGGGGAGTATGGGTATTGTGTTTTGTTTGTCGAATGGCTCGCTACATTCGGGACATATGTGCTCGTCGATCTCCCTGATAGCCACCTCGGCGAAGACATGGCCGCATGGGACCAGGTAGACTGCCTTGGTGGAGGGGCCGAGCTCCTTGAGTGAGATGGGACAGGCCCAGATCTCCTTCTCCTTGCTGCCGGCGGGCTTATAGCGCTTGAACTTGAGCTTGACGACGTCGCGCAGGCTCTTGATCCCGGTGGAGGCGAAGGTCATCTCGTGAGGGGTGGCGGCGTCCTCGGGGTCGGGATCGTCACCGGGCATCAAGCCCTTGAGGACAGACTCGTAGTTGTAGAGGCGGCCGCGCC